ACTGTGGTCCTCTAACCATCCAGCAGGTCCCTGATTAGAATGTTGGATCTGCTGTGAGCTTCATGCTCAGGGTGGCTTTTCACATTGCAGGGCAGGCTGGGGATTTTCCTAGGCAGATGCTGGAGACATCAGTGACCAAGCAGGCAGGTGAAAGTTATCCTTTTTAAGTTTATTTTATTTTATTAAATTACCATCTGTTCCTTCTAGACGCATACTCTGCAAGTATAGTTGCTTGGGATTTATCAAGTTCTGAAGCTGTAGTGACAGACTCAGTGTTTCTTTGGATCTATGAGTGAAGGTTTGATTTTTGCCCGACTTCATGGCCAGCATTCTGAAAAGCCTGACTCCCCATTTTCAGCATGATTTTTCGGTGACTTCCAGAAAACGTGTGGAAGTCATTCTCTCATATTTAATTTTTTTTTATCAGATCAATGGTTTATTTGCTTTTATTAGTTAATTATCAGTTAAATTGCTTTAGCTGATACTTTAGAAAACACAGTGGTGCTTGTTAATGGAGTAATGTGACCTTCCAACGTATCGTCCATTGTATTATTTTTAAATCCGGATAAACCTCTCTCCTCAAACATCCCTCCTTCGTGTTGAAGACTTTCAAAGTCCTTTCTGCCCTCTGAAATGTACATTTCATTCAAGGTATCATTCCTCATGTTGCTGTGGACTAGCATGCCAAAGCCTCTTCCTCCTGTTTAGTTGTGGCTTAGCTCTGTGTGATAACCCTTCCCCCCAGCCCCATCCTCTCTCATCTCCCCAGCCTCTGTAGTCGTCATCTACGCTCAGATCTACTGCGAGATGGACTGTTTCAGATTTTACTTAGGGTTAGCGTCACTTCTGTGTCTCATTTCGCGTAACATAAAACCTCTAGTTCCATCTGTGATTTTTAGTAGCTAAATAGTATTCCACTCTGTGTGTGTGTGTGTGTGTGTGTGTGTGTAAACATTTTTTCACCCATTCATCACTTGGTGGGCATTTAGTTTGTCACTGGTTGTTGGCCTTGATGAACAGTTGGTGATGTAATCAAGGAAGTGTAGATGTTGCTTTGTTCATTTCCTTTAGATGGAGTGTGATTATTAGGTCATATGATAGCTCCGGTTTTGTTTATGGTCTCACTGTCTAGGCCAGGCTGTCCTCCAGCTTTGGATCCTCCTGCCTCAGGTACCCAAGTGCTGGGATTCTACATACGACTCACATGCTAGACTCTTGTTTTTATATTTTTGGTTGTGAGCCTAGCCTGTAACGGCTGAGCCATCTCTCCAGCCCTAGACTCTCATTTTTTAATTTTTAAAAGAACCCCATCATGTTTTCCATTGTGCCTGTCAAAATCCCTTCTTTTTGCTGGGTGTAGTGGTATACACTTCCAATCCCAGTGCCCGGGAAGGCACAGTGATCGTGAGTTGGAGTCTAGCCTGGGCCTCCATAGTGAGATCCTGTTTCACAAACACAAAGATTAACTCCTGTTCATCATTTCTTGCACAGTGTGGAGTTGAACCTAAGGTCATGTGCATACCAAGCTGTCTCTAAGCTTTTACTCCCCCACCTCAGAAGCCATTCTTTAGGGAAACAGTTTATAAAAGCAGGATTTATTTAATCCTTCTTTTTCAAGCTAATGGGGTTTTTACCTCCACTAGTTCACAGTGCGCTAATTAGAGTAACCCACAGGCACCTTTTACTCTAGCAGAGCAGAGTCACGCTGTAAAATCGCAAGAATTTGGTAATTAGGATGCAAGAGGATGGGCACGGAAACTCAAAGCAATATGGCACATGGAAGAGACGGGCCATGTTTGGGGGTTCTGACTTTGTTGTCTGGCAGATCTCAGTTCAGAATGCAGCCCTGCCTGCCGCCTACTTGACTGGGTGTCACTGCACAGTGCTTAAACGCTCCCAAGACACAGTTCCCTCATCTTTGCAATGAGAGGACAGTGCTCTACCTGTCTGTCTGTTGAGTTCAGTAGAAAGCAGGACATAACGTGCATCCCTTAGCAAATGGACACTTCTCTATGCTATGAGTTCGCAGACTGTCTATGAGTTTTGTTTTATGTGTTTGTTTGTGTTGATGGCACCAGAGACTGAACACAGATCCTTGTGAATGCCTGCTACTAAGCTATGTTCCTCCTAGCCTGGACTTAGTGACTTCTAAATAGTTCATCTTTAAAATTACACACACACACATTTAAACAAGTCAAACCCTTTCGTTCTCTCTCAGGCATCTGCCTGTCTTCAGCTAACTCTAGGAAGTATTGATGTTTAGGTAAAATTTAACTTGAACCTTGTGCTGTCGAGGAGTCACTAGCCTCATGGTCCTCCATGTTTGAATTTGGGACCCTCTTGTCCTTCCTGGAATCTGAGCTCTGGGAGCGCCTGTACTCTAACTGGCAGCCCAAAAGGAAGACCCAGGTTCCTTACCTGCTTCCCTTACTGGGAAAGTATTGTGAAAATAAATATGGATGCCAGTCAGACATCAATTATATATTCAGAAACACAGATCATCTATCTCTTTTATCAACAGTAAATACATACAGAAAACCTACTTTTAGTTCCAGAGAGTCACCTAATTAACAATAACCCAGATGTTTTCTTCTGATCAGAACAAGGCCACGCCCACCATGCCCCATCAGAACCAGACAAGATCAGGGCTTGCATGGACCCAGTCCTGGAATGCATATGTCTGCTAGTACGTACGCTTGCCCCTGCTGTGTTCCCACAGAGAACTAGGAGCCGGGAGAGGCCGAGCAACAGCTGTCATCCCCGGGCCGACACATGATTGTTTTATCCAGGACTCTGCCTGTTAGGCAAGTGTTCTACCTCTGAACCACAGCCTAGCCCTTCATCCCTGCAGATGGATTATTTTGGGGGTCACCAGCTCCTAAATAATGACATGGAGACTTATTATTAATTATGAAAGTCCAGCCTTAGCCTAGGCTTGTTTTCAACTAGCTCTGATAACTTAACCCATTTCTATCCATCTACGTCTGCCACGTGCCATCCTGTTTCCACTGTGTCTCCTGGCATCTCCTCTGTGCGTCTAGATTCGTCTCTAGTTCCTCTCTTTGCCTGGAAGTCTAGCCTATTCTCCCTGCCCAGCTTTTGGCCCGTTTAGCTCTTTATTATACCAATCAGCAGTACACCTTGGCACAGTGTGTACAGATATCCTCTAACACATCCCTGGTGTTGTTCAGTAGCCAGCATCCTCTGTCCTGTGGTTAATTCCAATCACCTTGTGCTCTGGGATGGTATCTTAGGCACGGATCACGTCCCATTGAAGAGAAAAGTCAGGCTTAGCTACTTCTGTCTGTGGCTATAAGCTGTCTTGTCAGTCAGAGCTTGGGAGATGGGGGCTAATGACTGTACCTTTCTAGTACCTCAATCCAACCCCGAGAAGAAGAGGGTAGGTAACTGGAGATACTGAGAGACTTGAGAGAAGAAAGGCAAGATCCATGTGTGACATCTGGATCAGAGCAGGGGACAGGGCTGAGTACCAAATTTTTATTTATAAATACTTAGAAACCGGTGTCTTCAGAGGAAAACTAATGGTGCACGGACAGTGTGTGAATCCACTTGCCTGCCAGTGAAAGGCATGAATCACAGGGGGGAAGGGTGTGATCTCAGGCAGGGCAGTCTGGGATTTGGATGAAGCAAGTCCCAGTTCAGGTTCAGCTCTTAAGGAAGTAGAATTTCCTCACTCTTTGTTTATTCTTCCAGGAACTCCCCTCCTGAAAGAGTCTCTTTAGATGAAGAAGTATTTGCATGACAACTTAGCAGGGACCCAGAATGGAGGGAGGAAGGAAAAGGCCCAGAAGAAAGAGTCTCTGCGTTCTCAGCTCAAGTTGTGCCCTTAGCATGCCTTGGCAGAAGCTAGGTGCAGAAAGTGGAGTCTGCAGCAGTCATCCAAAATGGCTAGCAAGATAAACAAGAGTATATTTATTATATATGTGTGCTGTTAGCATTTTTCTGGTGTAGAGTTTAGTTTTTCTTCTATATATATGCCTTGCATTTTTGTCTGTAGTTGTAAATGTATAGCGTCAATATTTGAAATCTTTGTTGAGTAGCAAGTATGTAAGTTCGTGTGTTCAAACTGGGTGTGTGTTGCTCTTGGCTTCATATGTTTGTCACTTAGAAAATAGAAAGGAGACTATACCTGCCCTTCTGCACATTGCCTGTGAGGACAGTTTGGGTCCTACTCACTGTCCTCAGGCTGAGCCCTTTAACTTCCTCAAAAGTCTTGCATGGGCAGAGGGTCAGAGAGCTGGGGTTTCCTTCCAGAAGCTCGCAAAGCAGCAGTATCTGGTGTGTGCGCTTCAGACACCAACCTAGGTGTCTGCTGACTGGAGAGCCAAGCAGGCTCTGCAAGATGTGCTCCAGGAAAGCTTTCTGATTGCCACAGCATTCTCACAGGGTCTGCCAGAGGAATAGGCAGCTTGTGGCGAATCTCATCCAGATGTCTCCAGAAGCCAAGGATCTAACTTAGAAGTTTGCAGCTCTGGCTGAAACTATAAAGTTCTTACATATTAAGAGAGGTCTCTTTTAAAAGAGTATTCTGAATCAAATAGTCAACTACTTTTAGATAATCTTCAGAATCTGGACACTGTTTCAAAATTAGTGATTTCTAAATTACTGTATATTAAGATGATATCATGTGACTTCATGTAAGTTAATTTTGAGTCTCAGGAGATAACGTTTCTTAAAATGTGCAAATAAATTGATTATCTATACATTTATCCACATTTCAGGTACTGCTGAATAAAGATCTTTCATTTCATGTTGAAAGAAGGGTTTTTTTTTTTTTGTTTTTGGTTTTGTCTTAAAATGAATAGATTTTTTTTCCCTACAAGTTGAATTTTATATCACAGTAGCTCAGGATAATCTTTGTTTAATCTCAGTGTCTTTATTTTATTTATTTGTTTGTTTTATTTTTGTAGCTCACATAGCCTCTGAGTGGTGCTTGACCCCTTAGCTCCGCTCTGACACACTCTGTTTTTTGCTTGCAGCAGTCTCTGGTCCCAGCGCACCCCATGGCCCCTCCCAGTCCCAGCACCACCAGCAGTAATAACAACAGTAGCAGCAGTAGCAACTCAGGATGGGATCAGCTGAGCAAGACAAACCTCTACATCCGAGGCCTGCCCCCCAACACCACTGATCAAGACCTGGTCAAGCTCTGTCAACCGTGAGTATAATAGTTTTGAGTGCCTTAGCTGCTGAAGCCTTCCTTGATCATAGCCATAGAGGATATAAGTTATGTTGCAGGAGATGGGCAGAGGATAAAAACATGAGACCCTCTAAGCGCTAAGCTCTTGGGCATTTTCTCAGTATTCAGAATGCCCACATATAGATGAAGTTAGAGCATATTCTTGATACAGTTTGAATTGGCACGTGAGAAGTAAAATAAGAATTGATGGCTTGGTCTTTTTTAAGAGTATTCCTCTTCCATGGAAGCCTGCAAGGGGCCCATGAATCCTGTGAGAGAAATCTGCTGACAGTATTGTCAGAAAGTGATTAACAAGCTGGCCTCGTCTTGAGTGTGTGTCAACTCTGGGTTCATGCAGGGTACTCCCTGTACTCTCATGGGCACCTGGAGCTCTGTGGTGCATATCAATCACTGGGTTGTCCTTTGGAAATAAGAACACCTCCGGTTCCAAAGTAAATTTGCATCTTCTACAAATAATGTTGATAAATAGAATACAGATGTTTTATTCCTTGCAATTACATTATTGCAGCTAAGTGACAAAATACTAATATAAACCAAGGAGCCAGAAGTACCTTTGAGAGAAAAGATTATTGCGGAAAGAGTTGAAAACATCAGATCTCATTGAGCACAGCTTACACATAACAGCACTTTGTATTTATCCGAGGACAGTAATGGTCTTTTACAAAAAGAAATTCTGAGCCAGGCGGTGGTGTCACACACCTTTAATCCCAGCGCGAGGGAGGCAGAGGCAGGTGGATCTCTGTGACTTTGAAGCCAGCCTGGTCTACAGGAACCAAAGCTACACAGAGAAACCCTGTCTCGAATAAACAAACAATCAAACCAAAAAAACTAAAGAAAAAAAGAAAAAGAAAGTCTGCATAAGCACATTGAGCCGCCTGCTAGAGAGTGTTGCCCATTGCCTTCCAAATGTCTTGCTTGATGGCATCTCATTTCTGTAGTTCTGGGTAAAGCTCAGATTCATTACTCATTTGGGGGTGGGGGAAAGAAAAAATATTCAAAACTAGTGAGCATTATTTTCAGACTGAGGCTAAAGCTACAGTCTGGCCTTGATTTGCTTTGTTTTGAGAAGCAGCGTGGGGCGATGCATGGTGCTCCTCCAGGCTCTCGAGGGTTGTGCAGAAGGCCATCTCCATGAAGCTGAGCTTCTTGTGCCTTTTTCTTATCGCCCTTCCGGTCCAGTCCTTCTGGAATCTGGGGGAATGCATCACGTCCCACACTGAGGTCTGATCTGAGAGGAAATCTAGCTCTTGGGAGTTTGGAACTCTGCCAGGCATGTCCTGCCCCGCTGCAGCCCTCAAGACCGTGAATAGGCCTTTGGCTATCTTGTCTGCTACTGTCCTTTCATTGGCATCTTCTGATGCTTCTGTGGAATAATTACAGGTGGATAGAGCGCCGTAGAGTCTTAAGAAGCTAAAAGTACACCGTAGGGACAAGGGGACGAAGCAAATTCTGTCTTGAGGTTTAAAAGGAGAGGATTTCAGAAGGAAGCTCTTCCTCAGCTGGTTTTGAGTTATGTAAGAGTTGATGTCAAGGAGAAAGCACAGGAGCCATAAAATGATAGATCCATATGCCATGCTTTATAAACCAGAAATATACTTCAAAATTAGGACCAGTAGTTTTTTTTTTTTTATTGAACCAAATCATTTTCTAAAAATGACTTTTTCCCTAGACCACTTACTCCATTTTTGTTGTTGGTTTCTTTGATGTGTGTAGGTTTTCTTAATATCTGTAACCACTATTCTCTTTGCTGTTATCATTAGTAGTAGTAACTTAGCCCTTCTCACCATGTCTTGTCATTTATAAATGGAGGCTCTTGCAAGATCCCAGGTTTGGTATTAAATGCTGATGATCGTTTTGGCAGCTGTATCTATGGAGGCAAGACCCAACACTGATGAGGGGGATGCTGCCTCAAAATCCGCTACCGGCTTTGTTCTCCTTCACCCAGAGAATTGAATAAAAACAGACTCTTATTTGCTGACCATGTGTGTCTTACAGTATAGAGAAAGACATAAAGCAACACTTGTGCTCTGACCTTGACTTACTTCTGAGAAAGCGTAACTAGTTGGTGGCCTCGAAGTGATGCCAACTTTATGGCGGAGTGGCTTCCTTTAGGACCTAGGAAGTCCTTTAAGCATAGAGATTATAGAAGAATATAGGAAACTTTGCAGGAAGGGTAGATAAATCCATACCTCTGAATAGGGGGAGAAACATTTTAAAAGTGCAAACTTAGCACTAATTGACCTGGACACTGGAGATGGGGAGGTGGGATGGAGGTCAGCCACAGTTGAAATCAATGATCTGTTTCTTCTGAGATTTAGCTTTGCTCCAGTTGTCTGAAAATGGAAAAAGATGCCAAGAATGTTTGTTCCTTTCCATAAAAAATAATGCGTGGAGCTCAGAAGCAAGTATGGCAAAGATTTTACACACTGGAGAGGAAAACGAAGTAGGTTTTGGAAGTAGAACATGGGACGGCTAGAAGGTTAGGAGAGCTGACAGTGGAAAGGTAAATGTTGTGGTGTGAAGAGTTCTGATGGTAAAGTCAGCCTTCCAGATGCAGCACACACGACAATGGGTGATGTAGACCACCATGGTCAAGATGGGGAGGGGGTGTGGGCCATAGCATGTCAGCTGGGAAGGCAGCAAGATTAGGCAACTGAAAACCAGAGAGGAGGCTCTGATTCTGGACATGGTGGTCATGGTCGAGTGATGTGGGCTGCGAGTAGATACATCTGCAGGAGTGCTTTAGGGAAGACACCAACAAGCTCTAAAATGTGAAGTGTGGGTGGAAAGGCAGAGAGCGTGTAACTCCAGGCTGCTTCGGGGTTCCTCCATTTCTACTAGCCGATCTACTCAAGAAGAGACTGTCAGCGCTGAAGCCCGTCATGTTTAGGAGATGAAGTGCCTCAGGGAGCAGAAGAGACCGGTTTGTCAGACCTGGGCCACAGATACTCTTCATTCTCCCCATTTTCTGAAGCCAAGCCAATCAAATACCAGGTTGAGTGTTCTGATATATATTAAAAAGATAGGTCTTTCATCTCACAGTCCTGAGATGAGCTAATAGAATTCTAGGGGCTCGCTTCCTCGCGTGCTCAGGGTCTCAGCTGCTCCTGCCTTGCCCTTGTGTCTGCCATATTGTCACTGGTGTCTAGTCTCTGTCTAAGTCTTGCCGTCTTTCATCTCGGCGTCCTCTGCTTATTACTCTTTCCCAGCAGTGCTCCACACTCTCAACTTTTTCTACTTGAGTGTCTTATCTGAGCCCCAAATTCACTGGTATCTTCCTTACCTCAAAACTGTGACTTAGGTAATTGATTTTCTCCACTGCAAAGCTCTGGAGTTGTTCCGGACCACCCCCCATTGTCCTTCTCCCTCCTCGTCACACATTATGGGCATTTACTTCCTTGCTGCTTAAGGTGTGGCGGGAAAGAACGTTTGCTCTCCTTGCCACCTCACCTGAAATTGTTCTCTGTTTTTCCCCTCAATCCTACGAGGCCGTGGTCAGGTTTTCCGTGCCTCCTTCATGCTTGGACCATGCTAAGCCCATGCACCTGCTTGTCATAGATGCACCACTCACGGTCTGCATTTCGGCCCCATGCTGTCCGGCTCTCCACATGCCAGTTATGTTACTTGGCAGCGTGGCTCATGCTAGCAGTATCTTAACCTCTGCAGATTCCTCACCTGCCTTATAAAGACAGGATGGTGGGGCTGCAAACTTTTGAAACCCCAGTGCCATCTACTACCTACAGGGCTAGGCAGATGTCTAGTGTTTCGGTCCGTAGCCTGGAAAGTAGGTCAGAGCTTTCATTACAGAGTTGTTATAAAAAAAAATTGAAATCCAGGTTATATCTCCTCTATTAGTGTGCTTGGGACAAGAAGTATTTTACGTTTTGGGCTTCTGGAATATCTTTATGTATACAGTGAGATATCTGGGGGAAGGAACCCAAGTCTGTACACAAAATTTAGTTATGTTTCCTATAAACACATACCCATATCATGAAAGTAACTTTATACAGTGTTTTCAGTGTGTCTGCATTTTGACTATGACTTACCACAAACCGTTAGATGTGGGATTTTCTACTGTGGTATAATATCCGTGTGCAAAAAAAAAAAAAAAAATAGATTTTTGTCCCACTTTGGAGTTTGCATTTTTTGAATAGTGAAAGAAAGACAGCTGATCCAGTCCCTGTCACCAAATAAATATCAATCCTTCTTTTTATCAAAACCCTGTTAGGAAAAGCTTTAAGTATGTATATTCTTACATTCAAAAATAAAGAGTAGAAAAAAAAACCCACCAGATTGTGATTTTGAAACTGGGGGAGCCAAGGAAGTAGTTTGAATAAACATAGCTCAAGCCTCCTCTTCCTTCAGGCTTTTGTTGGGTACTTGTAGACGGCCGGTTTCAGGGTCACGCAACCTTCCTCATTCCTTCCTGGTTATTATTTTTACTACGGCGTGGGAAATTATCCATTTTGCCCACACTTTTATTTAGAAGATGGACCAACTGTTTGGAGTGGCATACGGTGTGGGCTGTCCCTCCCAGCCCTGCATTTGAGAGGTGAAGCTATAAAGCAGCAGGGGTTCCAAGGCCAGCCTGGGCTACAGGGAGGGCGTCTCAAGCTAACTAAGCAAAGAGAAACAGTATCCGTGTGCACAGTTTGTTCCACAGAGCATCCCTGATTTCCAGTAGGAGCCCAGGCCTCAGCTGGCTGAGAGACTGTTGCAGCTCCAGGCTCTGTTGCAAGGTCCAGGGCTGTAGCTGTCTCAAGAAGGTGTTTGAGCTGAAGGGCCATGTGTGGATTTCCAACAGTGCTCCTCCCCTGCCCGCATTACTTTCCCTCTTCCTAACCCTGCCTGCCCACCGCTTTCTTGGCTCAGTAGCCCTCTGATTTGTTTATCTGAGCCTGGAACTGACTCTACCCTCTGACATGCCAGACTCGTACTAATTGAAAGGGGTATCCTTA